AAGCTTTAATTATTATTATAATTTTAAGAAGCATACAAAAGAACTAAAATGTACAGAGTAGAAAGCTGTGATATATTGATGATTTTTTAAAAAACATGCAACACTGTATACGGTGTATTTAATTTTTGCAAAAATAGTTTTTTAATATATGCGTATATTCTATTCATAGCAAAAAGCGGGAAAATTACACAGTAAACTATTAACAGTGTTTGTCTCTGGAGCAGTGGTTCTCAAGGGCAAGAATACAAGTTTTTTGCCTCAGGGGACATTTGGCAATGTCTGGAACATTTTCGGTTTTCACAATTGGGAGAATGCCACTAAATTAGGAATCACTAACAGAAAAATACTTTCTAAAACTTTCTGAAAATTTAAAACGTATTGCTAAATAATTTGTAAGTCAGAGACATTGATAATAAATGTGTAAGAGAAGTTAAATCTCACTTGTAGTTAGGAAAATTCAAATTAATAAACATACTATTTCATATCTAACATTGTGACAAAATGAAAGTGTGAAAAGAGAAAATGCTGTTAAGAAAGTAGAAAAATAGAAGTGCTTATATACTAGTGCTGTGCATAAATTGATACGACCAGTTTGGAGAGCAATTTTACGTAATCTAATAAAGTTAACAATATATATACCCTATGACTCAACGTTTCCTCTTCTAGGGATGTACTGTAGAGAAATTTTCACACATCTATACAAGGAGACATGTATAATATCTTGGAATAAAAAACAGGCTGTAGTAATTATAAAAGCCCATCAATCAGGGAGTGGATAATAAGTTATAATACTTTTATACAGTTGGACACCATTTAAAGCTAAAATAAGTGAACTAGTTATGCAGTTAACAATATTCAGCAATTGTGAAATCATAGCATTGAGGTAAAAAAATAATATGTAAGTTTATTCTCTTGTTTTATACTATTCATGTAAAATCTTAAATGCACAAGAGTACATATTATTAAGGGATAAATGTAATAATGGCATCAAATCATGGACAGGAAGGGCACACCAACCTTAGGATAAGGGTTCCTGCTGAAAAACAATAGGGAAAGCTTTCAACCAAGCCTGTAATGCTCATTTCTTAAAAAGAAAAACATATATATATACATATAGCAAATGAAACTGAGTATATATTTGATGATAGTGAGTAAATGGGTGTTCTCTGTATTATTCTCCTGTTTTCTGTTGGTCTATTTGGAATATTTTTTATGACTGAAGGAAAAGAATATCAAATGTCAAGAATCATTGTTCCATGTTATGCAAGGCAAGTATTTATAACTTGTAGACAGGGTAGGCAGATGATGTTAGAGTAAGCTCCAGAATCACTTTTGAAGGCATCTTTCCTGATGTTTTTCCCTTCCTCCGGTCTCCGTCTCTCACTGTGCCCAGCCACCTATACACTGACCAGTTTGTTTTTGCCGTAATATATCCTGTACACACTTGTATTAAATTACGTAGTGCACTAATTACAGTTATTTACATGTTATTCTCACCCTAGAGGCCATAGCTCTTTGAAGGTAGTGTTTATATCTTGTTTGTGTATCCTTTTGCATAGTTTAGTGCCTGACAAATAGTCAGCACTAAATACTTGGTAAATAAAATGATAGATAACGGAACAGATTTCAAGGGAGGAAGAAATATATAAAGGACAACGACCAATATTAACCTTTACCTACATTTTAGTTTTGATGTTCTTGCCAGAATCCAGTAATAGGGCATCTAGTCAGGTCCTATGCATCAGTTAAGGCTAAGTTTTGCTCTGTGTAACCTGAGAACCTAAAATAACAGTGGTTCCATTAGAAATGTATTTCTCTCACACCAAGAAGAAGCCTGAAAGAAGGTAATTGAGGGCAGGGACCAAGGTTCTACATGTTTTAACTATGTTTCTCTTCCACTGTATTTATTGAGGTAGCTCACGAACCAAGATGACTACTTAAATTCCAGCCATCTTTTCTTTTTTCTTTCCTTTTCTTTCCTTTCTTCTTTCATCTTTCTTTTTCTTCTTTTAATTAAGCTCAAAGGCAAAGGGACAAGAGGTACCTACCCCTGCTTTTGAAAGGCTTCCCAGAAGTTCCCTACAAGTTCACCTTATTATATACATAGTCTTAGGACCTCACCAAGCTGCAGAAGGGACTGGGAAATATCTTTTAGGTGGATGACAATGCTTCTAGCTAAAAATTATGGTTCTGTTACTAAAGAACAAGGAGAGAATGGACATTGAAATGACAGGTAGCAGTGTCTGAAATTCTGATCAGCTACAGGTACTGAAAGAGAAGTAGAAAGAAGTGGATTCCAGAGAAAGCTTTTGAGTTTTCCATTTCTGTTAAGCCTGCCCGTAAACAAACCAATAATTGGAATATTTTGTACTTAACCCAGTTCCTGTCAACCTCAGTTTTGGTCTCAAGTACAAATTACTGACAAAATATCCATGTTTTAGGGTGCTGCTTACAGAAATTAATGTTGAATTGGATTCTGTAGGATTTCCTTGCTATTTTCCTTCTGCCATGTCTCATATTTTAAACTAAGAAATAGCTTGAATTTTGGTTTTAGGTATATGCTTATCAATTCAGCTTCAGCCAAAGTACTAGCCTTGAAGGAAAAAAAAATGAGGTGGTGGTAGATCAAGAAGCTAATATAGGGATAGACTGGGATTTCAAAACTGTAGAATAGATAAACAAGATTACACTGTATAGCACAGGGAAATATACACAAAATGTTATGATAACTCACAGAGAAAAAAATGTGACAATGAGTGTGTATATGTCCATGAATGAATGAAAAATTGTGCTGAACACTGGAATTTGACACAACAATGTAAAATGATTATAAATCAATAAAAAATGTTTAAAAAAAAAGAAGCTAATATTTTACAGAAAATTAATCCATAAATAGTCAGCAGACTTTCTTTGGGCATGGTTGCTGTTCCTGATACTGGTTCTCCTCACTGGGTTGTAAAATGGAGTGGTAGTGAAAAGTTTTGTTCTTTGGAGATTTAAAAAATTGCTTAGTACAGGTCCTTTTCCTTCCAGGCTCTAAATTATCTTGGTATTCAGCCCACGAAGGAACAGCAGCAAACCCTGAGACAGCAGGTGCAAGCAGACCCAAAGGGGACCGTGTCTTTTGGAGGTAATATTAGCTTCTTCATGTTGTATCATCATAGAAACTTGGTCAAAGAGTTATTGTCACCCATTTTCATTAAGAGTGTCTCTTCTTTAGGAGAGAAGGAAAAATAAAACCACATCTATTTCAGGTTCCTTAATCAGTACTCTAAAAACTCAGCTAGAATTTCTGGCCCGACTGGGTCAGCAGAAAGGAGAACTTTCTTAGAATCTTTCAACTTTAAAATATCATCATTCTATCATATGCTTTTTTATTTTTAATTTATTACATAAATGTTGCTTTAGTAATAACAAAAGAAAGAGTACCAGATGTAGAAGCCCAGTTCTGCTCCTGTGAAATTCGAACCTTTTTTCAGCCAATATGGTATAATAAATATTTGTATGATGCTGCATAATTATTCTCATTCTTACTATGTAATTATTACTAAAGATAGCGTAATGTCGACATACTCAGTTGACATGTTGTAAAGCCTTTCCACTATTGGGAACTTGGGCGGTTTTTTCCATTAACTGATAACATAAATAAATCTAAATTTAATAGTTTTTTTCTTCTTTCTCTGATTCCTGGACAGGCTTAGGAATTGAAAGCATCGGGTACATAAGGCTGTGTGTAGGCAGGGCATTTAAACCAGAATTGCTGGAAATCTGGGAAGGAGCAATTATGTATACTGTTCCCTGCCCCCTTTCAAGCAGTCCAGCAACTACCACTCCCTTACCCTTGGAGAGGAAAACAAGTACCTAAATGCTGTACCTGCAGTTGCCAGCAACTAGGGAATTTGAGGGCATGTGCGGTGAATTATCACTCACAACACACACCCAGATTGCTCAGTGATATTTGCAATCGTGTTCACACTCTGTAGGCAAGAAGTTGTAGGATGCTCTCTGAAGAAGCTGAACAAAATATCAAAATAGCTGGCCCCGATTACTCTGTAGTAAAACCCACTAGTTAACAAAGTGAATTATACACACTAAATTTCTAATCAATGATTTAGTACCTGATTTCTTCTCAAATATGAACTCAGAGCCAAAGGCCACCAGATAGTTGGAGAAATTCTCCAACATAAAATATAGAGCCCGGAAGTATCAGACAAATAGAAAAAGAGGAACTCAGAAAAAAAGAACAAAAAGGAAATATTGCAAGAACAAAAGAGAACTTCAGGTAAACCATAATTAGCATCTTAGAAAATATAAGCAAAGCTAAGGTACCCATGAAATAAGAGTAGGATATTGTAAAATAGGAGCAATTAAAAGGATCCTTGGAAATTAAAAATATAATAGCTAAAATGTTAAAAAAAAAATTGAAGATAGATGAACAGGTCACACACCGTATCCGAAGAAGCGTACAGTTTGCTAGGACAGCATCAGGCAGTGCTCTACAATAGTCAAGAGAACATGCCTTTGAGTCAGACCTTAAGTGGAATCCTTTTCCACTGCTTATCTGCCAAGTAGCCTTGGGAACTTGAAGACAGTTAACTTATCTTAGCCCCAGACTGCTGTAAAATGGAGAAGATAAGAGGACCTACCTCAGATAATTTTGAAGATGAATTGTGAAGTGCCGTGCATGGCATACACAAGCTGTTATAGAAACATTAGCTGTTGCAATTATTATTACTATTATTATTATTATTGTTACTATGCCTTGAGTTCTTTCAGTTAGATCATAATCGCAAATCATAATATTGTCATATGTTTCAGAAAAAAGTTCTACTCATGACAAAAGAGTTGGAGAGATAGTTATGCCTGTGATGTGAATCTGCTCTTTTATTATCGTGACTGATTTATTAACTTCAGCAAGGTTAAGCGAAGTGAGTGAAGACCAGTTTATTTCTTACTTCTTATATGTATTTAAATGTATCCATCATTTCAGTTAATACTATTTTAAGGTAATTTATTCAAGTTAAATTTTAAGCATTAGTTAGACCATATAGCTTCAACTTCATGTAGAAAAAAGGTAAGATTTACTTAAGTGAAGTTAAATGCTGTGTTCTTACTGAAATATGTTCCATTTTTAGATTTTGTCCAGGTTGCCAGAAACTTGTTTTGCTTGCAGTTGGATGAAGTAAATGTCGGCGCACGTGAAATTTCCAACATATTAGATTCACAGGTAGAGTACACCCTATGCAATTGTCTTCTTTGTGCTTAAATCGTAAGTCTTGAATGTTATGTTGTCATATAGGTAGGCTTTCTTTTATATTTTACTTTTTAAACATAAATTATGCAACTAATACATGCTTCTTGGATAAATATATGAAATACAGATTAATTTAAAATCAAGAAACATACTAAAGAAATTACTAGGAACCTGATGCTCTGTTACCCCAGTGTGCCTTTCCAGTTACCAATGCTCGCCCTCCTCCCTGTCCTCAGTCGAGGTAACTAACTACTCTTTTGTCTTCTGACAAGATGGATTGGTTTTGCCTCTTTGTGCTTTATGTAAAATGAAATTGTGTGAAGTCGATTAACTTCATAACTCATTTGTTGTACTCATTTATATTGTCAAATCTTTCCATCCTTTTCTCTATGGATTTTTGATGTTGTATTATTAGGGACAGTCTTCCCAATGTATAGTAAACATAATGTATTATATATAAATAACTTATTTTTGTCTATGCATGAAGTTGGGCCCCAGATGGATAACCAAGTCCTCTTATTCCACCATCATTTATTCAGTAACTGTCCTTCTCCATTTTTGCCCCTAATATGAAATACAAACTTA